ATGCATGCATGCATGCATGCATGCATGCATGCATGGCTGGATGGATGGATGGATGGATGGATGTGTGTGTGCGTCTGCGTCTGCGTCTGCGTCTGCGTCTGCGTCTGCGTCTGCGTCTGCGTCTGCGTCTGCGTGTGCGTGTGCGTGTGCGTGTGCATGTGCGTGTGCGTGTGCGTGTGCGTGTGCATGCGCGTGCGCGTGCGCGTGCGCGTGCGCGTGCGCGTGTGCGTGCGCGCGTGCGTGCGTGCTTGTTTTACGTTGTGTATTCAGCTTTGAAGCGCTGCGGCGGTCTGGGCTGCCGCGCCCCCCGTTCAAGTCTGGATGGTGCTGCTTGCAGAGCCGAGCATAGGCCTCAGACGCATGGACCACCACAGCGCGAACAGGGCGAGGCGTGAGAGCCCTTCCAAGAAAGCAGCTGCTGGGAGAACATGCATCAGAAGGCGAGGCAGCAGAGAGAGCGAAGGAGAGAGAGAGAGAGAGGGAAACGGAGAGAGGCTGACGACCAGGCCATCGCTTCAACCCAGACCCCGACACACCCTGAGGACAGCTAGAGACACGCGTGCACGCGTGCACAACTGCATTGCCATTGCCTGGTGCACTTGAGCCCCTTGGAAGCCTGAGGCCTGATGCTCGATGTACAGGACGCATGCACGATGCAGAAATCACAGGGAGAAGAGATCAGAGAAGGAAGCTCTATTCTCCTGACTCGTCGCTAAAAAGGGCAGAGACGACGAGCCGACTAGCCCTTAGGGGGAAGCGAGACAACCGGAGCTCTGGGTGCTCAGCTTGGCGGATGCTCCGGCGCCTGCCCGGAAAGAAACGTCAAGCAAGCTAGCCCACACACCTCACACAGTTCCCTACTTTGACGTGGGCCCTGAAATCTTCCACAAAGCATTGCTTGGGAGAAAGCTGCCCCCTGCAAATCGGCTACAAAAAAATGTCCACTCAGTCCCCTGTTTGGTGTTTAAGAGAAAGTGCTTCACAACATCGCTTGCTCAGAGGTATCACAGAAGCCCGGGTTCGGCAGAGCCCCACAGCCCGCAGTCACAAGCCTCGACTGGGAAGAGATCATCTCACAGCACGAACTGATCGCATTTACGAACCCAGACCGGGAGAGTTCCAGCAGGCCGTGAAAGGGGTGCGGCAGCGAGTGACGCGCAGTGGGTGGACGGAGACCCTCTGAACTCCAAAGCTTGCTGAAAGCTTCCCGGTCCCGGAGAGGAAGGGGATGTTCAGCACTTGGTACGGGTCCTCAACAGTTCCACACCCAGACTCCAGCTCTCGTCATGCTCGCGTGTTGCTCTGAGGCCAGGGCGAGGCGCGCGGCATCGTCCTCAGCCGAGTGCTGCATCGATGTCAGTGCTGCTCCGATCAGGGGGCCCGGCGAGGAAGTCCAAGGGCGTCCGGATTCTCACATGCCTCGAAAAGCGACAGAAAAAAACACAGTTCTCTCTCTCTGCTCCGGTCTAACGGTCTGCCTCTCTTTCTCTCTCTTTCGCCAGGGTTCTGGTGCAGGGAAATAACCCCCTACACTCTCTCGCTCTCTCTCCCCCCCTTGGCGCGAGCCGCTCAGCTTCGCTCGTGCGATTCGCAAAGCAATGCCGGGCTTCACTGACGTATTCCGCTGTGGTCCCATGTTTGCATCGCCCGCACACGACGCGGCTGCTGGGGAAAGTAGGCCGGTTCAGGACTCATCGACCCAGAGCAGGTGTTGTATCATTAACCACGTCACAGTGGTTCGCAGCGTACGCAAAGATCAAGTGATAGAACAGCAGAGCACCGAATTGGAAATGATAATGACAACATCGGGCTTGCGAAAGCTTACATGTGCTGCGATATTCCCGCTCTGACGTCTCGCGCCGTCGCCTCAAGATCACCAACGGGAAAGCCGACCTAGCAGGGGATGCCGGGGAACACCGTGCCCAAACCTGAAGTCAAAAGGCCACCTCGCCTTCCGGGCGCTTCCCGAGGACTTTGCCGGCGCCGGCTTCGCTTTCGCAGCAAACTCCAGAAAGAGGCCTCGCGGTTCGTGCCCCGCCGCAGCGCGAAAACTCAGTTTCGAGCCCGTCTCTGAACTCCCTTCCTTCGATCTCGAAGCTCGCAACTCAAGCATCGACGTCATCGGCCTCCGCACAAACGACACGCCTTCTCCCCTACTACGCTTGGCCCCTCCGCTCCGACCCAACACCGCCTGACGCAGTAGACCTGCAAACACACCAAAGGCGCAGCAAAAGCAACAACACTGACACACACACACACACAGACACACAGTCTAACACCAGGCTTCCCTGGAACTTCGATCTCATGTGGAAGTGTTCGCTCAAAGCTCATCTGAGAACATCAAACAGAATGTTGAAGCAACGTACAGCGACGGTGCTGTATGATGCAAAAATGCGCGGCTTGCACGTGTCACAAGCTGGCTGCAGGTACGTCGACTTGGCGTTCCAAATCCATATCACTAGAAAGCAAAAGGAACAGTCTTCGCTGGTGCCAACCTTTTACAATCCGCTGGCACCCCGTGCTTCAAAATTGAGGAATGCGAGTAGACAAGTAACTTAACCCGTTTAATGTTGTGGCCTCACACAAATACACTAGCATTCAACAGTATCACACCTCCGTGTCTTGTATCTGGTGCACCGGGGTGCATGTACAGGTGTTGGGCATCGAAGGCATCCAAAAGTGACACAAAAGGCCACGGGCGCTGGGTGTGGGCGGGCAGGCGAAAACTTCAGACAGACGCATGGCCAGCAGTCAACTCCGTTAGTGTGTCAGAGTATTACGCCTCGTTTTTGGCATCTGGTGCACCAAAGTACATGTACGGGTCTTAGGTACCGAAAGCATCCAAACGTGACACAAAAGGCCACCCCTGTAATCTTCCGGCGTCTCCAGTGTCCACTCCGCCCATGCATCAAGCGCCGCGCGCCAATAAACAGTTCCAAACAGCCGGAGGCAGCCGAACTCGTTCCAAAGCTCAGAATTAAATATCAATCATTGTAGCAAAAACTCTGCCCAGGTGAATATACACTGTTTGACTGAAGGAAAAAAGAGTTAAACTGTACGACCCTACGCGGTCACACTTTTCACTGCTGAATCAAAAGGTGCTGCACGGGTCACAACTGTACACGAATTATTCCATGCCGTAGCCTTGGGCTCCCAAAGGGGGGACTTACCTATACAGGAAATTCAACACCCTGCCTCGAGGTTTGTGTCGCTGTACAGCTTCTGTTCTCTGGCCTTGTGGGCACTTCCCGTTCCACCGCGAGTTTGACTCTGCGTGCGGATTGAAACACTTCAGTGGTGCAACACACCCACCTTTTACCTTCCCCCGATTCCGGGGATTGTCCATAGGTCAATCATCGCTTTCAAAAGTACAGTAGCTGAACGGACCCAGGGCTTCCTAAGACCCCTGTGGGGAGGAACTGGTTGTCATGGCCCGGGATTCTCGGGCCATGAGCCCATGGCCCCGGTTTTTTGGGAACCGGAAAAAGCTTGGAACCGAGGGTGGGTCCAAAGCACACCATGCAGTCTGTGTAATCACATATCATGTTGCAGTATGATATGCAACGATCTTGCAATTATGAGGAAATCAGCGATGTGTCTTTAAAACGTTGCAGGGTCGTCTGCATAGCAGCTTCGAAAGGTAAGGATGACTGGTCTGCAAGCATATTAAGTGTGTGTGTGTGTGTGCGCAACCCAAAACCCGAAGTCCTATATATATATATATATATCTTGTAAAACCTGAAGCCCCGAAACGCGAAACCCTAATATATACAAGGCACTGGGCCGGGCAAAATATATATACTGCATATACGTATATTGAGGAACTACAATATATATATATATATATACATTATAAGGACCGTATATTACGTATACTATTTGGGGTATAGGGGCTTAGAGGTTTAGGGGTTCGTGCGTTGGCGGCTTGCAACAGGAGCGATGGCCTGGGTTTAGGGTTAGGGGTTTAGAGGTTTAGGCGACAGCATTTGAGGTTTAGAGGTTTAGGCGACATCATTAAAGCGACCTGGTTTGTGGGGTTTACGATTGAGGGGTTTATTATTAAGGATTCGGCGACAGCATTACAGGTTTAGGGCTTAGGGGTTTAGGGGCTTGGTGCGACGAGCGGCTTGCCCATGCAGGCCTCATGGGTTTAGGGCTATCAGGGGTTTAGGGGTTTATAGGCGACAGCACAACGACAGCTTGCTATCGGAGCGGCCTGGGGTCATGTTCAGGGGTTATTCCCAGAGACTCCAATACCCCTTATTAAGGAGTATACCATTATTATTACATCTAGGGATCCTATAATTTCAAGTATATTCCTTAATTTTATAAGGGGTATTGGAGTCTCTGGGTTAGGGTTAACGTTAGGGGTTTAGGCGACAGCTTTGCAATCGGAGTGTCCTGGGAGGGTTTAGGAGTGTTTTGTTTAGGGGTATGGCTGCGGGCAATCGTAGCCAATCCAGCTATATAGATCATGGTGTTGAAACCCACAAACCCATAAAATCCTAAACTATTGAACCTATAAGCAATCTCATCCAAATCCTAAAACTGAAAAATCCTTTGTTTGCAGATGGGGCTTACGGGTTGAAGCCCAAACCCATAAACCCCGAAACCCTTTGACCCTAAGGCCCCACGCTTAAACCCCAACCTTGAAACTTGCAATCTGAGTCGCATGACCTGGGTTTAGGGGTTTACGATAGCAGGCGACAGCCTGCAGCAGACTTACAATCGATATCATTGTGACCTGGGTTTAGGGTTTAGGGCCTTTAGGGTTTGGGGCTTTAGGGGCTTATAGGTGGTAGCAGGCGACAGCCAGCCTTGCAATCATGACCTGGGTTTAGGGTTTGGTGGTTTAGGGTTTAGGCGGCAGCCAGACTTGCGACTTGCAATAGGAGTGGCCGTGGTTTTCGGGTTTAGGGGTTAAGGCGACAACTATGCAACCAGGATCCTGGTTTTAGGGGTTATTATGGCTTTATAAAATGGCTAGTAGGATTTGGGTTTGAGGTTTTCCGGGCCTCAGGGCCTTCGGTTTAATGGTACCGTTTTGGGTATATATGTGTTTAGGGGTTGTCGGCTTCAAGGCCTTTCTTTTTCATCGCGCACCCAGCTCGCATCAGGCTCGAAGCGATTACACTTTGGTGTGCAATGCGAGGTCATCGTTTTTTTCCACCATCAGCCTTCGGGGTTATACCCGGAATCCTAAACCCCTAAACCCTAAACCCTTATTATATATATATATATATATATTGTGTATATATATATATAATATATATAATATATAATATAATATCTATTATATATAGCAAAAAGAATCTTATAAGCCCGAATACGACCCTAAAAAATCAACCGGCTCAAGTGCATGCTGCTCGAACAGGCCTGAGCATGTAACGGCGCAGCATGTTCACTTCGAACTTTGCACCAGCCATCACGCACTTCATCGCGGCCGGCTTCAGCAATCCCAAAAAATCTTCTTCGCTGTAACACTGATAGTGTCGTGGGTTCAGTCCTAGGCTTATGGAATTCGAATGCACTCGCAAGACTATCGTTCCTAATATATAGCTGCAGATGAGTGGCTTTCAAGACGAATCGATGTAAGCATTTCGTCAAAGGCCTCATATATATATATGATGCTCATCGCGAACCCACACACTGTATTAATTGTGTCCAGCAGGCCCATGTGCTGAAATAAATATTGCAGCCAAGACTCATGAAGTTTCGGCCTCATAAAAAATCTGAGCATCGAGCGCTGGGCAAATATCATCGATGCTTCCCTGTACAAGAAGAGGAAGCGGCGGCCTGAAATGCTCGTCAAAAATCTGTATATTAATATTTATCATATATATATATATACATACCTTGGGTTCGAGTGAGCCTCGTTGGCAAAGCTGCACTGACTGCTCCAATGTCAGCAGCTGATCCATATCCTCCATTTCGTTCTGGAACTGGCTGATTTCGAACCTCGACTTGCGAAAACTCGATCGAATGTATAAGCTCATGATGTGATCGTGATGTGCAGCTGGAGCACACGCAGCTGCAAATGACATCGTGCAGTCGAATATCCCCGGCCACCAGATTCGCGGACATCGTTGCTTGTGTCTCCGAGCTCAGCAGATGTGCCTGCTGGGTTTCGGGAATGTTTTTGGCCACGGCCTGTAGAACCCGTATAATTCCTATTTTATAGTTACGTCTATATAGCTAGCACATGCATGCATGTGATGATCTCGCCAAGCTTCAGCCAGGAACGCAATTACCACGCGGCAATTGAATGCCTTGTATCCAAGATACGGGTAATCGATCTCAGAGACATGGAGCCGTTTGCTCGTGAACTTGCGGCCCGAGCAGTAAACACCAGACCTCCTCATCCAAATCTTAAAAGATTCGAACGCATGCCGAAGTTGATCGTCGAGGTCGGTACTCGTCGTGCCGAACGCGTGGTGCTGGCACATCCATAACAGCGTGTCTGCTGCTAACGACTGGTAGATTCCCAGTGCGAGGGAATGCATAGCACAGAATCTGATCATGTTGTGGTGAAAACCAGGCACATGTACCAGATCCAGCGGTGGCTGCGGCAGGAGGCTCAAAAAGTCTGCTGGCGTGCGGCGTTCGAAGAAATGTCCGAAGTCACAAAAGCCATGGCCATGCTTGGACACCTTCGAAGCTTTGCAAAGATGGCAAAGGCGCTTTGCCGACTTCCAGGAAGCCGACATTTGCCAGTTCACTAGGTGCCATTCCCAGTCCCCTTTGCAAAGCACCAGAGCGAACCGCGAGTGAAGTTTCGCTCTCGCACGTCTGGAGTTGGGAAGTTGCTCGCCATCTGGTCCTTTTCGTGGCCTCGAGCCATGGAACGCCAACGTCAACGACCAGAGGGTGCGCTTGTAGACAGGCCGCAGTGTGTCCTCATCGATCGATCGATATCTGTGCGATCATATATAATTATTAAGCTATATATACACACATATTTGCACGCAAGCTTCGGCACCACAGCTTCGAAGGGAGCTCAGCACGAAGAACATGAAGGTTTTCAGAAAAGGCCGCCCTGAAAGTTACCATGCGAACAAAAAACATGCCCTACGCCCCTTTTAAAATAAGTACATATATATATATATATATACATATAGTATATTATATTATATATATATATATAGCTATATGGGTGGGTTTCCCTGGTTAATATTATATATAATAGTATCGTACCCCATAGTATA